AAATATTGACACCCTGTTTCAACTTTCTGGTGTCAGTTTCGACTTTACAACACTTGATCTGATGTGGTGCCACGCCAGTGAACAAGTTCTCTATGTCACCCATCTGCCTGGAGAACATCTGTCCAAACTTCCTTGGACACTTTCTTTAAGAAAGCAGACAAGACTCCAGGAAAACCTGCAGCCGAGACTCCTGAGAAGACTCCAGTCAAGAGTCCTTCAAAAAGTCCAACCAAGAGCCTTTCAAAAAGTCCAGCAAAGTCAGCTCAAAGAAATCCTTCCAAATCAATATGATTGCTATTTACAACATAAATACATTCATGTAGCTATATTACTCATCTATAATTGATTGAGTATAAAATTCTGGGATATTTTTGGTGAAAATAGGGTATCAGGTCTTGGTTCAGGTACCAATCCCTGATTTATAACATTGTTTCTTATGAGAAAATTGGTTCTGAGTTCCAACGTTTTGACTTAAAACACGGTTTTCAGGAACCAATTGTGTTGCAAGTCTGAGGACTGCCTGTACAAAGCTCTGTGAAACCACTAGAATAGATTTAATGTCATAATCCATTGCAAAGAATTACCAGCCTATCAGCTTCCTTGGGAAAATAGATTCTGAATGCTCCTTGGGGGGAATAAAGGTATGAGTTTTCATGTGATAGATAGGAAAACCTTCAGAAATGTTGTGCAGTTCCACATTTTTACAAAGAAGGACTGAGGGAGGAGTTAGGGTTCCCCCCCCAAGAGAGGCTTCTTGAGCCTCAGTTTTGTTATTGCTGATGAACATTGTGGGGGAAGTAAAGATTAAACACTGAGTTTAAAAACCTCCATTCTTTAGTCAATTCTTTCAAAATAAGTTTGATGGTGCCATTAGACAGCAGCATTCCCAAGGCAATCAGATACGAAAGCTCTTATTTATTCTCTTTATATATAAATTGAAAGAGAATAATTCAGATGAGCTCTCTAAACTAATAGCTAGAATTACCTGCTTTTTAGACTGTCAGCTGGATGTGTTCCCTAACCAGCTGACACCATCAGAAGATGATCTATGTCTGGTAGATGCTGCATATTTCATCAATACCAGTTGTCCACCACTCTTGAGGAAAGAGAGGAATGTGAACATCATTCTGTCATTTGATTACTCCCTGAGCACAGCATTTGAGGTATTTGATTTAATTTTTCTTTCCGTGAAAGCATCATTTTTTTTATCATATTGTTTAACTTGGCTACAATTATTGAGGAGCTGTAAAGACCAAAAAATGCTAAATATGGCCCTACTCTTAAATCTACCATCTTTACCTCAAGGGTACCATCCTTTTTATAAAATATACTAGTGTAAAAACCCATAAGAATGACGGGCATAAATAGGCTACTTGTTACAGAGTATTACGTTTTTGTAATCCACTGTGTCATTACCAACTTGAGCTGTTCTGCCTGGTCTTCCTCTATACAACGGGTGTCCATCAATGTTTCCAAGTATCACCTCTAAATTCCTTTGGATGTTTCTTCTGACATTGATGATTTTCTGTGCATTTGGATTCAATCCTCCACATGGTCCATTAATCATACATGTTGTCACAATGATCTTTGCTCAACAGGCAATGCACTATTGTACGGAAATGTTTGTTTCTAAGTTCTGGTGATGCTTGTTGTTCTGATTCGTCATCAAATCCTGCAAATACTCTGGAAATGGTCTTCTTGGAGGCAGAATCACTTTACCCGTATGACAACAGCTCTCGAATTGACCATTTGATGGTCTTTCAGCTTGGAAGTTTAAAGGGTTACAAAATTGACACACTATGTTCCTCAATCCACAACTATGTTCCTCAATCTCATTTTCAGTGAATTTATTGTTGTCTTCTCTTTCAGCCTGTCTTCTATTGCCTGTGCAAACCCTTTGCCTTTCCATTGCATCTCTTCTACGATGTCCTCTTTGCTCATTTGTTTCATTTTGCCTCACTCTTGCCATTCTTTCTGCATTCAATTGCCATCTATTCTGTGCTTCACCTTGGTAAGGGTGTTATGGGTTAAGGTTAAAGTAAGGGTGTTAAGGGACAACTTTTGCTCAGATACCGAGAGTTACACCGTAACTAATTGAAACCAATCACTAGAAATCCAGAAAGGTGACCGCAAATATGTTTTTTTTGAGCATGACAGACAGAATGACAAAGACACAAATGAAGCAAATTATTATAGAAGATATTGTTATAGTTAAAATAACTCTTATTATCGTTTAAGTCCTGAAGGTACAGACTTAATATATCTGAGATTCTTAACTTTGTGAATGCAGTCCTTTTTCTACAAATCCACACATACAAATAGAAAGTGAACTCAATTAGAGAATTAATCTTTATGAGCATATTGTTTGTAAATAAGAAAAAATAAAAATATAAGGCTTAGTTTAACCATAGTTATATGTGGGGAACAATTATCCAAGACTGTTTCAATGGGCTTTCAACCCTAAAGACTTTTCAAAATTGGGGCAAAAATAACAAATTATTTTTGTTGCATCAGGAGAAAACCAGTAAGAATAAGTTTGCATTTGTAACTGTTGTCTGGCCAACATGGCTCACAGGCTCTAACCAGACCTACAAGTCAATTACACAAACTTACATAAAAATAAAAAACCAAATAGTTCAGCTCATAACACCACTAGATAGTTAACAGAGGTAGCTGTGTTAGTCTGCAGTCAGATAGAGGCCTTGCGGCCCCCATGGTAATAGAGGGAGTGGGGTAGGGGAAGGGGCAGGGGCTGGGGCTGGGGTGAATGAGACTCCAGGTCTGGGACAGGCCATAGGACTGAGCCATGGGGGGCTTGTCTAGGAGTGCGGGGGGGGGATGCCTCCCTTCTACTGTGCACACCTCTGGGGAATGGGGGGCATGTGCCCCCCTGGATTTGTGAATGGGGTGGAGGCG